TAGCGTGAATGACATTGCATTTATTAGAAATTTACACATGCAATTAAAGTAGGGATGGTTTCGCGATTCTCCTTTCAGCAGGGATGCTATTTTGTAATACTCAACTTTTGCCACAACATATTTTTTTATGAGTTCTATGCTGTAACCACTAGGGTTTATTCTGAGTACTACATTTTTTATTATTTTTATCACAGCCATGATAGTATAACTATAATATCTCTTCAAAAAAGGGGATAAAGAAGAAAAACCTATTTTTGAAACAGTGTTGAGTGTTGAAAGCATATCTTGAAACTCTTATGTGCAAAAACAATAGCATCCACAAACTTGTATTTTGATGCATGACAAAATCTTTGATATCTCCTAATAGAACACTCAAAATTCCAAAGAGACTTCAAAATCTCTCCTTTGGAACATAGTTCACTATAACTAAAAATAAGTAATAAGCATTCCTGTTCTCACATGCTCTGTGAGCCTCCTTTCCCTGCCCCCAACTGTATCACTGCCTTTACTTGGCAAGATTTTCTGTTTGCCATTCACTAAGATCCCTTTTCCTTCCTGTTTTCTGCTTTCAAATTATATATCATTTAATTACGAAAGATACAATACACATATGCAAGAATGTTTCCTATATTTTAACTCTTAGATATATTTGTTATATTCAACCAAATTACATGGTTATTTCTATTCACTAGAAGTGCATTGAAGGTTTCTCATGTGCAAGAAACTTGCTGGAGGGCTCAGGTCACAAGGTTTGGCAGTGAGTATGGACATAGGGCGTTTATATAAATGAATTAGAGGTGATCCCCTCTTCTAATTTGGGAATAAACCACCTGCTTTGTTCATCTTGCTCCCTCATATTGCAATGTCATTCTCCTTTTCTCTAACTATTGGGACCTCTGCATCCTTCATTACGTCCTCCATGAAGCCCTTTCCAGAATGTCATAATCTAAGTTCATTATCTCATTTACCCTTACAAGGTCATATATGGCATTACTCATTTTGCTTTTTTGTTATTGTTGCTTTTACGTCTGATTATACCCATTATAGCCATGGCTATTCAATGTAAATTAACTAAAATGAAATAATATGAAACATTCAGTTTTTTGCCTGCACTAGCCACATTTCAGTTGCTCAATATCCACATGTAACTCATGGTTTCCATATCAGACAGTGCAGATTTAGACTCTTTTCACCATCGCAGAAAGTTAAATCGTAAGCTTCTTGAAGGTAGGGGCTATATCATTTAAATTAATAAGGTTCAAAACAATAAAATAATACATGTAAAATATGAATATCTCTGTGGTGATGTGGGACAAGAATTGTTTGGCATATAGACACAGAGTTGCATGATACTTAAAACCCTCTTGTATTTGGGAAGATAACATTAAACTCAGAAGGAAGACAAGTAAGTTATATCTGCTTAAATTATATTATGTAGGTACAGGGATTCAAAAAAATCATCAAAACCACACACATTCAATTTTAACAAATGTCACAATGAAGTAAATGGATTAAAGAGATATTTTATTTTCATCTACCAGCCCAAGTATCCAGAATATCTAGTTTACATTCCTATTCAAATTTCTTCAGAATGAAACTATTGAAATATAATCTTAAAGAAATAGTATATTGTTTAAAATGTATCCTCTACAAATTCTAAGAAATTCTGGATTATTATAAAAAAAAATGAGCACTCCTATTTTTTACTAGTACAATGAAAAAATAAGTTACTGTGTTTAATGAAACTTGAAGAATAACATTAAAGTATTGATTTAATGGTCATGTATTTCCATAAATTTTTGTTCAGTGCATACATTGGTCTTTAATGTCAGAATATTGTCCATAATCAGGATGGGAATTCTGCAGGGGGTAGGCCTGTTGCAGGTGCATGGCCTTGGGCTCTGACTTGGCCACTGATTGACAGTGTGGTCTTGGGCAGATTACTTAAGAGCTCCAAAAGTTTTCCCTCATTCAAAATGGGGCCACTGATCTTTACACACACATTTGTTGTGAAGTTTATGAAAATAGGCATTGAAGCATCAAGCACCTCTTTCACATGCCCAGTGCCTGTCCTTTCAATACTGAGCTCAGAATTTACCAGTGTCCTTCCTTGTGAACCCATCTCTATCTTTACCACCTAATTTAGCCAAATTACCTGCGATTCCATACTTGATTGATATTTTCTTCATTACATTTTTGTTTGTTGTCATTGTCTGTCTATAGACCTTTTCTCTTTTACATGTTAGTTTGATGGCAACAATTACAAACTGAGACAAAGAAAAGAACACTTTAATGGGGTTTTAAGACAGAGGTAGCCTATGCCATTTACCTCGAGAGGAGCTTAAAATAGCGGAAGTCCCTCAGAATTAAGAAGGATTCTAGAATATTATGGGTCACTTTGTATACCAAGAACAGCAACACTGATTATTTGACTGAGCTGACCTGAAGAGTTGTACTGCATAGTGACAACATTTATCATTCTAAGAACCATTAGCACACCGGGTCATGTTCACCTGAACAACACTGTTATGACTTTGGAGAAGGAATAAATAACATTCCTTTGCCTGGTGTTAATTAGCCCCCTTCCAACACACACACACACACACACACACACACACACACACACATACACACACACAAACACACATACACACAGAAGGAATACCCCCTTCTAACACACACACACACAAACATACACATCTGCGCATACACTTACCATACACACACACACACACACTCTATCTGACCTTATTTCCAGGGTTTTATTCATTTGAACTCCTTTCTTTGATTATTACTTCTTTAACCAATTTGCTTTGCATGATATAGGTTTTTGGAGTTAGAGACATGAGGTTTCTGAATCCCATATTTTGACTACTACTTAGTTAATCTCTTACCCAAATCTCTCATCTGTGTAATGAGAATAAAAACATTTACCTTGTATGATAATTTTGATTTGAAGTTTAAGTGAGAAATAGATGTTTAAAAAAATCCTGACATGCTTTCTTAATAAATATTAATATTTCCCTACTTTACATTTTAAAGAGGGACGTTGTTAGGATCCAATGGACTAACATGCTGTATAATGAGAGAACATAGAATTTGAGTGACCTGGGTTCAAATCTTGGTTCTGCCACTTATCAGTTGTGTGTCCCTGGGTATTTATTAAAATAGTATCTTAATTTGTAAAGTGGGAATAATGATTCCTACTTCATTCAGTGGTTATGGGGGTAATGTGAAATGTATATAACTGCTCTGTATTAGTCCTGGTGTCTCCCATACATTAATAGCATATTACTAAAACACTCTATTCCAATTATTATCTGTGGTCTAACTTACATTTAGCTACTTCCAACATATCTTCCACTAGATTATAAGTTTCTGGAGGGTTAGGGGCCAGATTTGACTCCTTTTTGAACTTTATAGAACCACCTAGACTAGTACCAAGTGTGTTACGCCAATGTTTGTTCAGCTTCTGGCTAGTAGAATAAATGCCTGAGATGTTTGGCCTGCCCATTCGTCAGCCTCCACCCTCAGGACGGCCAATAGGAGCAACAGGTTTTAATAAATCATTACTTGTAATGGAAGCTGAGTCAAATTAATGGGTTTTCCAAGCATAATGACATAACAATTACATGATATGACTAGAACTCTATGAATGATTATGTACTTGGCTCACATTTATATAATTATCCATTAATTTATTCTGTACCTAGGCCCTGTCTATTGCCTTACTTTAAAAAAAAATATGTGTGGCCTATTCATGATTATTATGAAATACAGCCCCCTACTTAGATGCCCTGATATGTACCATGCTCTTTAATGGTGACTATTTATAAGGAAGAACATAAACAAAAAAGAAGAAAGAGAATTAAACATAAGCAAAAGGGTAAAAAGGAGAATGACCAGTCAAGTAGGTGGTGCCTTCCACTGTGACTGTCTTGGCTATTGCTTTTCTAGCTTTTATATGTGGAGCTATTTAGTTTCATTATTCATAATACCGTTTTGTGGTTTTACAATAGTATCTTCATGAAATCATTATAACTGTGATGTAATAAAAATATACTTTATTAATGTATTAAAATTAATTACTTGGCAGCATGAAGGAAAATTTTAAAACATACCTTTGCCAACCAGGAAACATAATTTTAGAAATAAAAATTTCAATATCTTTAAAATAAAATGGCAACACACTGAAAAACTTCCAATGCTTTTCAAAATCTTATCTTTTTTTAAAAAAATGATGTTCTGTACAATCTATAATTTGATGCACTATCCCCATGATATAGATCTTACTTTATTCCTTATTGATAAGAAATGCAGAAAACAGAAAGTTGAATGTCATATTTAGAGTGTCACAAAATATGGAACAATCTGAATGGGATTTTAGGATTTTGGCCTGCCTGATTTCTTATTTTGAGCCTTTTATGTGATCTTGTTTATGGAGAAATAAAAAACACACAAATGGTTTATGGCCTGATTACTATGTATTAATTGTTTTCAGACCATAAGAGATGCAAGCTTCCAGTTTTCTGTCATGTTTATTTAACATTTCTCTGTAAACCAGTAAGGCCTGTTTTATTCAATATTAGCCAAACCAAATATGATTCCTGTGTTTTTTCATTTGTGCTTGGAGATATAGCAAAGTACCCATCATTATAGTGTTTATTGAAGTGAAACTTGTGATTATATGAATGCTTAATGGATTTTGGAAAAAAGACTAGCAAATTAAAAAATACTTAGAAAGATCAAATGTGTTTGTCCCTTCAATTCATTTGTGGCATTTTGGGGGTGTGAGGGGGAGTGGAGCTACATCTTTGGTTTAGTAAAATAGTAAAGAATATATTAAAATTTTCTCTATTGCTCTTAAGTAAGATATATGAGAAACACTTTTTAGATAGATACTACATAAAGTTAACAAGAAGGATTTATTTTCTTATACTGTTTTCCCTGATTTCAATTGTTTTTTTCATCTTCCTGTTTTTTTCTTAATTTAATTTTAGAGGGTTGTTGAAGTATCAAACCAATATAGATACGCACCCTCCAGGCTGCATCAATCTTAATGGAACCCGGTACCGGAATACTCACTTACCTGAAAATCTCTCAGAACATTTTCATGAATCTTTTCCTGGAGGGTTTTCAAAACCAGATGAGGTTACCCGGAACACATCTGTGAAGATTTGTCAGGAAGAGCCCAGGTTTCAAGCTAACTTTCCACAGGTCTGATTAATTTTATGTGTTTTATGGTCTCTGCAAAATGGGTATTTCCATAGCAATTGATCAAACATGTTTTTGAAGTTACATAAAGCAATTATTCTTACAGAACAGAACATTTTAGGATGTTTCAATAGCAAGTTATTGCATTACATGATAGGCAGCTGACAGTTCCAGGAGAAAGACCTATAGCATTATGGAATATAACCAACCATATGATCTCTGCATACTATGGCACTGGTGTTTGCCACAAGAAAGGTAACAAAGACATGCTCCCCATCCATTGAGAAAAATAGGTTGAATATTAAAAACAATAGTGAAAGAACTAATACTAATAATATTTGTGATACAATATTATGTACAATATTATAAATAATAAATTAAAATTAATTTATTGACTGCTTAATATCTGCTACGAATGTGCTAAAATGCACCGTATGCATAATTTTTTCAATAGTCACAATAACTATTACTATAATCCTCAACTACTACCATCCTCAATTTTCTGATGAGGAAATTCCTGCTTGAATATATAAAATACCTTGAGCAAACTCTACAAACAAACGTGGGGCAGAAGTAGAGTGCAAAACTAGGTCTTTGGGTAAAATGCTTGCTCTTGGAATACTTTCCCAAGGGCCATAATGTTCCCCCTGGGAGGCTGTGGGAGCTGCCCAGGTGGGAATTATGCCCTGTAATCTTTATCTGTACAAAGTGGAAGTAGGGTAAATAGTGATGTCGAGTGTCTGTTTTAAGAAGAAGAAAGTAAATTAGAAAATAAAGGCAGTCAAATACAAGGTGACAGAAAGACACTAGACTTCAGGTGGTAAGAGTATACAGATATTGTATTATAAAGTTGCACACCTGAAATTTATATAGTGTTATAAACCTGTATCACCCCCAATAAATTTAATTTTTAAAAAAAGAAGAAAGAGGAGTCAAAAAGTAGAGTGATTTGTTGATGGCTTTGAAATGTGTGTGTTAGTGTTTTTTTAAAATATATTTTATTGATTTTTTACAGAGAGGAAGGGAGAGGGATAGAGAGTTAGAAACATCGATGAGAGAGAAACATCTATCAGCTGCCTCCTGCACACCTCCTACTGGGGATGTGCCTGCAACCAAGGTACATGCCCTTGACTAGAATCGAACCTGGGACCCTTCAGTCCGCTGGCCGACGCTCTATCCACTGAGCCAAACCAGTTAGGGCATGTGTATTAGTCTTGTGTTTATTATTAATCCTCTAGATTTCTATCAAGCTTTACAATTGCCCAAACTTTTTTGCAATATGTTAGGACGGGCAGGTATTGTGACTCCCATTTTACTTATGTGCAACTTGATGCTCAAAGGGTAACTGTCCCAAAGTTGCCAAACTGCTGCTGCATTGCAGAACTTGTCCTGTGATGCTTACACATGGTGCCAAACTAAATGTCAGGAAAAGGCATGATTTGTCTGCAGGCGGGAGGAAGGTCCGGGGTAACTGTGTAAGTAGCTTTTAAAAAGTGACCAAGTGACCATTAAGATAAGTTTGGGTTAGGAGTCGGCAAGTGCTGAGGGAAGTATAGTGTGCAGTTGTAGGAGAAAGCTTGGCTACACAGCCTTCTGGACTCCCCAGAGTATGCAGTTATCCTGGGATCAGGGCAATCTCTCAGCACACGTGCAAAATTGTTACGCTTTCCAGATTCTAAATATAATCTTAGATGTTCATGTTAGATTTATCATTTGAAAGTAAGTTGAAAACAACATGCCTAGCCTATACCATATTTAAAAATATGTTCACATATTTTACATTTTGTATATGTGCATTATGCATATACATATGCATTAAAAATATCTAGTGTGTTTTTTTTAACAAACATTGGACTGGTACATTTTTTTTCTAAAATCATCTTGAAATTTATTTGAGCTTTAGCTTCTTTTTTAAAAATGTATTTTACTGATTTTTAGAGATAGGGGAAGGGAGAGGGATAGAGGGATAGAAACACCCATGAGAGAGAATCATTGATGGACTGCCTTCTGCACACCCCTCACTGGGAATCAAGCCTGCAATGGGGGCATGTTCCCTGACTGGGATTTGAACAGGTGTCCTCTTGGCTCATGGGTCAGTGCTCAACCACTAAGCCACTCTGTCCAGGCTTACCTTCCCTTTTATCTCTCTTTAGAGAAAAGTATAATCTAAATACATTATATATGAGTTGTGTATATAGAATGATATATGAAACAATGTATGACTTACTGTTGATGGTAGTTAGACCCTGAGCAATGATTTGAGGATAGGGTCTTGATATTACTATACCTTTTATTTTATACTTTACTCTTATTTGAATAACTTGCTGTAAGAATCTTTTATTTGTTTACATGTTATTTAAAACTAGAGGCCCGGTGCACAAAATTTGTGCACGGGGGTGGGGTGGGGTGAGTGGAGATGGTCCCTCAGCCCGGCCTGCACCCTCTCGCAATCTGAGGCCCCTTGGCCTCACAATCCGGGACCACTGGCTCCTAACCTCTCACCTGCCTGCCTGCCTGATTGCCCCTAACCACTCTTCCTGCCTGCCTGATTGCCCCTAACCACTCTTCCTGCCTGCCTGATCGCCCCTAACCACTCACCTGCCTGTCTGATTGCCCCTAACAACTCTGCCTGCCTGATTGCCCCTAACCACTCTGCCTGCCTGCCTGCCTGCCTGATCGCCCCTAACCACCTCTGCCTCAGCCCCCACTGCCACGGCATTACCCAGAAGGATGTCTGAAATGACGTCGGGAAGGTTGTTTGGCTATCCGGTCTAATTAGCATATTATGCTTTTATTATTATAGATAACAGATTACAATATTTTTACTGTAGTGTGTGAAATAAACAATTAGACAGGATATGAGTCTTACAATGCAAGTATTTTTTAAAGTGCATTTCAAAAATTCTCCATAGACTTGGCTTTGGATTTCTGGACCTTTGTGCCTGTATTGTGCTGAAAGGCTTTACAGGTGCATCCGGAGTAATAAGCCAGTCACCATCACCTCCGTTATCAGTCACCCTTCAGATGTTATGGAAATTCGAATGGTCAAAGAAAATTTTAAAGCAAGACCTGGCCAGGTGAGTCATTGTTCAGCAACTTTTAAAATACCTTTTATTCTTTTTTGTTGTTATTTTTAGGATATTTTTTCCATTGACTTTTTATAGAGAGTGGAAGTGGGGGATGAGATAAAGAGAGAGAAACATGGATTTGAGAGAGACACATAAATTGGCCTTGACCAGGACTGGGGATCAAATCTGCAACCCAGGTCCATGCACTTGACTGGGAATCAAATTCAAGACCCTTCAGTTTAAGGACCAACATTCTAACCATTGAGCGAACAAGCCAGGGCATAAAATACCTTTTATTCTTATGTAATTTTTGAAAATTAGCATACAAGTGCCATATTGGAAAATTAAAACTTCTCTCTTGGTCATTTAAAATTTTTTTGTTGCTTTTCAGTATATCACTCTACATTGCCCCAGTGTGTCTGTATTAGAAAATCATCCATTTACCCTCACAATGGTAAGAAACTTGTTTTTTTAATTTTTTTAGAATGAAATGCATATCTTACTTTTTTATACTCCACCTCATTCTAAAAATAATTCAAGGCTGTCACAAGATCCTTGTGTAAGTAAGCCATCTTTTTGCAGAGAGATATGTTTATCTGTACAGAAACTTTGTAACTATTTATTTATCATTTTATGCTATTTTAAAATTCAGAGTAATATATTTAAAATTTATTAAATCTTTTTTATTCAAAATGCATAATTTTTTATAATTGCACTTTTTCTTTTGTGGATTATGTACCAAAACATAATCTGTGCATGATTTTCTTTAAAGAAACTGAATTTCTTTAAAGAGATTGAGTTGTGGTAGCAGCATAAGAAAATCCAGGCAGTGTTTAGACAAGAAAAAGTCCAGTGTAATAGTCCTGTATATGGGGGAGAAAAAGGAAAATAAGGTAAACAAAATAAAATGGAATAATAATGGAGGGGGCTAGCTAAGTAATAGAATCACCAAATATTTTAGCACATTGTTTACATTATTTTATGCATTCTAAAAATGGCATGAAATAAAAAAGTAAATAATTCACAATTAAATAAGATAAAATTGGAATTTTCCCTCATTTTCCCCTTTCCAATTATTTTCTTTAGAGTTTAACATATATTCCTCTAGACATTTTACTCTATAATTTGGCATATATAGGTGTTTGGCATATTTGATGAATTGTTTTATCATTTTCTCTTTTTACTCAACAATATATTATGGAAAACTTTTCATTTACGTTTTATATGCCTCACTCTTTTTAATGACTACATAAAATTTTATAAGTTATTTAATATTCCCCATTGATGATGGGGATTAAGATTTTATTCCATTTCTAACTAAGGTAACAGAACAGGGACCGCATGTTTAAGTGTGTGTTTAAGATATGCAAATAAAATTGAACAAATTATAGGGTGGGGAGACAGATAAATAACTGGTTTGACACTGGTTCTGAGATGTAAGATTGGGTTTACTAGGATGGAAACTGCTATAAGTTTGATATGCCTCTTGAGAATAGTACTTGTGGAGACAGCTAGGCCAGAAAAATCTATATTTAGAGGATAAAAGAAACAGAAAGGGAGTGTCAAATGGTTAGAGAAAAAAACAGAAGTTATTTGAATAAATAATTGCAATTCTTTAAAGGAAAAAATTTCTTCATTGCTTCAAATTTTGTATTCTGTTTGTATGTAATAAATTTATTTATTAATAATTAAGAGAAAAGCATGGTGGTTACCAAAGGGAAGGGAGGTGGGGGATAGTAAAGGGTAAAAGAGGTCTAATATATGGTGATATAAGAAGATTTGACTTTGGGCGGTGAGCACACAATTCAATATACAGATGATGTATCATAGAAATGTACACTTGAAACCTAGATAATTTTATTGACCAATTTAATTTGAAAAAAAATAATATGTAGTCTGGCATCTAGTAAAATAACTGACAACATTCTATTAGATCAAGAAATATTTAAGTTCAGAAGTGAGTTGGATGGAGGCAAAGGGATTGGATGCTTAGAATTCTATATTCATGAGTTTTTTTATCTGACCATATGTGCACCCTACTCTATATAGGTCTAGGAAATGGTTTCTACCCTTCCCAGATTTGGGAGAATTAATAGCTGGCTCACTCATACTATCCCCCAAGGGGCAAATCTTGCTGCTATCTAGAAATGAATTTTAGTAGAGAAAACATTTTTAAGATAAATTTTACATTATGCTGTTTTGTTAATTTACTATTGTTGACTTTAAACAGACAGCAACCAGATATTTCTCCAGCAAACTGTATTTATTCAGGAACAACAGAGAACTGCAATTTGGAACATGTGGTCTAATGGTGAACCATATGCATGTCCAAAGAACAAGAGAGATAAACTTTCTTTTGCTGAGGAAAAGGGAGTTCAGAGGGGTTGTAAACAGAGTCCATTGAAGGAGACTGGGAGTTTGAAGTGTAGTGGCTTTTCATTGGCTGAGCTGTAGCAGTCTTTCATTGGCTGAGTGGTTGCTGGGCGAAGAGAAGGTCATACTTCTTCCTGTTGGAGTAGCTAAGTAGAAAAACATCTTCCTGTTGGACATGGAAAGTATGTCTCTTCCTGTTTGGGGTAATTGGCTGTAAGTGGTGAGTGAGTGCTCCTCCTATGGGCCCTCACAGCTCAAATTTAAGAGGGGTTTCTGTTTATTAATCACACTATGTTTTCCTGCCAATTCCCTTCCTTTTGTGCAATTAGTTCTATTTGGCACTTACATGTAAAATGCGTGCTTCTTAAATATTTTCACTAGAAAGGGTTCCTTTGATATAAACAAAGCAAAACAGTAATTTCCTATGTGCTGATTCCCACTAAAAAGTGTGTACATACCCCATCTTTGTCAAAGATAATAGTCCCTACTAATTAAATGCTTAAGAAGTTCCTCTATAAACTTTGAAAATATTATATTGTTTAATTCTTACTATATTTCTATGACACGTGTACTGCAAATTATATTTTATGTAGAAAACAATGTGACTGCAAGAGATGAAATAAAGTCACACTGCTGGTTGGTGGCACAGGTGAGATACACAGACCTGCCTGGCCGAAAGGCATGTTGTCAGCTATTCTGCACAGTCTCTCTCTTGCCTCACCACTCATTGATGTTCAGAGCATTCATATTTCTAAAACTCTTATTGGTTGTAGATATACTTGTTGGTGGTGTCAAACAACCAAAATGTATTACCATTTAGGAGAGAACTGTACTGAAATTACCAAGAGGCATTTTCAAGAGAAATATGCAATTGAAAGTTTTGGGTTTTCTGTAGTACTATGCTCTTCGAATACTGTGGAGAGTTAAAAGTCAAATAAGTTCTCTGCTAGAAAACTGTGACAGTAGAAGGAAAAATCAAATCTATAAAATATGCAATGCTCACAAATTCTGTAGTTTGAACGTCAACTCATTTTTTAAATGGAGAATAAATTTTTAAAACTGAAAATATGAGAAATAAGTACAAAGCTAAGGCACAGAAGCACGAAAGTAATTTTCACAATTTCAGTCATAGTAAAGCTAAGTTTTGAGTACTGATTCTATTAGATACCCAAAGGTTGGAGTTTTAATTACTTAAGGTGCTTCAGCATTTTTACACTTGACATTTATTTTCCTACACAAAGACATGATAATTTGGTGGGTTTTCCCAGGACATTGTGCTTGTTTTCTGCTATTGCACCTACAAATCTCCTAGGGCAGAACCAGCAGGCACATGTTTGGTGTCAAGACTGAGGGAGAGCGGAGGTAATCCTATACTAATAGAACATGGATTTTGGAATCCTAGACAGTCTGGGTTGGAGGACTGGATCCCCCACTTATTAGTACTATATCCTTGGACGAGATAATTAACATATTTACCTTTGGTTTGCTTCTTTATAAAGTGTGGATAATACTAGTGACTTCTCTATGGAGTTACTGTGGGTAGGAATTAAAAAAGATATAATAAGTGCTAATATAGTAAGTTCTCAGTAAGTTAGAAATTGTTACCCACTGTCTCCTCCACATTTTACCTTTCATAATTAGTTGACACCTCTCTTTGTGTTACCACTCCCCACGTCACCTTTGCTATTATGCTTTTTATTTTTATTTGTTATGGTTGTTGTTTTAGATCATGAGTGTAGAACCTAGACAATCGGATTACATTGAATTTTTTGCCTCATTCTGCAGCATGAACTAACTGACCAATCTCTGGCCACAGTCTGGTTTAGAAGCAGTTATTTCTGGGATGGATGATTTATTTGCCTCTTGTGGTTTACTAGCAGTTAGGATGAATGATGGACCTTTATTGGCTGGAAACCGGGTAGAATTTTACGTGTTGTTCTTCAACTATGTATTGGATCTCTAAGTGTTTTCCAGCTATGCTCTGTAATTGCCAAGTTTGGATTTTCTATCAAAACAAATCTATTAAAGTATGCTATCATCTAATTTAGATGTAGGAATCAGATATGATTTTAAAAAACTCAAACTTAAAGCATGACTTACTACAAAATGTAGCTTCTCTTAGTATTTAACTGAGACAGACATTTGTTATGCTTATTGATGTTTTTCATAGATTCTCAAAGAAATAATGCACAATCTACTTTTTTATGGTGGTAACAGATTGAAGCTTACATAAATATATCTATATCCATTCCTTATTATTTTAATTCAGAAGTACACATGTACTTTCCTGACAGCTGTATTCTAAATTGTGTGACTCATGACTCTTAAGCTTGGATAACCTAATTTCACATATTTTTCCATGAGTCAGAGGCAAGTTTAGCTGTTAGTTTGTTATTGTCTGTACTCTAACATAGCATGCCTTCACTTGCCATCATTGTTCTGCTTTGTGTTTTTAATCTCTCAACCAGTCACTTTGGGAATAGTCTTTCCAGTTTTCAATGAAAACCAGACAAGAATGGCCATGCATGGCTTAAATATTGAAAATATTTATTTCATTTCATGGGTTTAAATATAAGCAGGAAATCTGCTTTAGTGGTTTGGATCTTCTGTCTTGCTTTCATCTATCTAATTCTTAAAAATTGCTTTCCTCTAGGGCTTTACAAATCTTTTGCTTGGACAGCTTAGAAACTCAACTAGGATAGATGACAGATTAGCAAGGCAATAAAGTGTCTTAACTACAGACCATGCACAGTGGTGGAAGTTGCCACAGAAGGTCACTAATGTTCATGAAATATAACGGGACATCTGAATTCTCTGAAAGTTAAACATCATCTAATTGCTCAAGGCTGGCTCTTTTCCAGGGAAAAAGAATATATTTCTTTAGTGCATAATGAGAGCCTGAATATATGAACATTAATCGGTCAATGTGTTCAGAGCAAACCTGCTGTTTAATAGTAAACTTGATTTATTCAATTGGTATTTTTGGATGCCTCCTTTAAATGAGGTATCAAAGAGAAAATGATGGATAAAAGCCCTTTCTTGACCCACATCTCCTCCAGCCTCTCCCCCATTTTCAGTTCT